TCCGACAGCTGTCAACCGCCAGAGTACTACGACAACATCATAATTCTCGTAGATGCAACATCCAATCTTCTTCAAAAAAGACCATTAAAAAAAGTGGAATTAAGTGGAAAAAACATAAAAGCCAGAGGCCAAACCAAAAAAAAAAATGCTATTTTTTCTGGATCCAACTTTGATAAAAGAGATTGCTTCTAGCTTAAGATACATTATTCTATTAAAAATTAAGTAGACCGAGCTGCTCTTGCGCTAAAAGTTGAGGGTTTGACTTTGCTAGTGGAATAACCAACTGCTCTACGATTCTTCATATGTTCTGATAGCAAATCACTATCACCGGGAATTAAAAATTGCCAAACAACTTATTTCTGTGCAGTTCTTAAAAGAGGAAGCCATAAGTTTGTCAACGAGTGGTCGATGTTGGTAACTGCTACCACTTGGACTACTCTCGCAACTTTTGAGTGCTTCCACGTCACAGAAAAAGTGAATAAAGTCGGGGGGTGTTGACTTCTGAATTCGTTAAATTTGCCCAACTTGTAAAATTTCATGGCTATTCAAAACCATGATTTCGAAACCATGATTTCGTAAAATATTCATTGTTAGGTAGCAAATACTCCATTACTTTGATTAGCTGCTTTTCACGCAACGCATCTCAGCTCAGCCCAACTTTTCGCGGATGGAATATTCGGAAATGCATCAATCAATGTTAGCCGGTGATGGTTATCCCGATGCACATTTTCCCGATTTCTTCATTCGTTGTACCAGCCAAAAATGCCAGATGTGTCTCATTCCTTTTACGCATTAAGGACAAATATAGAATTAGCACAATCATCATAGTGTTTCCCTTTCAAATTTCTTTCCTTCCCTTTCCTCGTTTCTCTTCCTTTTTCATTAAGCACTGCGACATCATATTGTCAGGAGGTCCTGTCGCGGTGTTAAGGCATACATGACTTAATGGACTGAAACGTCTTATCTCACTCTTACATTCTTTTCTCATACTGTTCTTTCATGCTGTAATCTATCGCGTCTTCGCTATTTAGGCTTCCAGGGTCAACCTGGTTGCTACAGTCGGCTTATCAACACTATTGCCGCAAGTACTAAATTTCAAAATAAATTTAGTTAAGACTCACCTCAAAAATACATGCTGTTCGCATCAAACTGAAATATAGCTGGGACCGTGAGACGTGCCTGATAAACTTATCGATACCTCTGCAATGTATAAAGCACTAATTCTATCGATTTTTGCGAATTTCCAGAAACTAAACAATCTTTGAACGTTACTGTTTACAGATATGGATTAGAACTGCATGCATCACATTCTAAGTTCCGGCAAGTACCGATGCTCTTACGCTAAAAGTTCGATTCGCCCCTGACAATGAAACAAGTCCATCTTGTAGAAAATAAGTAAAACTTTGAAAATTACTACTTGTCCAATGGCCTCCATGATAAACTGGTACTACAGAATGGTAATTTTCACTGCCAAAACGATATGCTGGTAAGTGGCATCTATCCTAAAGCTCTAGTCGTGGCTCAAATATGCCTAATGAAAAAAACGCCC